GTGCTATCGTAAATATAATTTTAAAAATAACATTTTATTTTCTAATTTTTCATTGATGGTCTATAAAAATATGATCAATTTTAATATACTGACCTTGTATTCAGTGAATTTGCTAAATTCACTTACTATTTCTAGTAGTTTGTAGATTCTTTTGGGTTTTATATACATATGACCATGTCATGTGCTAATAATAGCAAGTTTACCTCTTCTTTTGCAATCTTATGTCTTTTACTTTCCTTCTTTTATTGCACTAACTAAAACTTCCAGCACAATATTGACTATAGATGGAAACAGGGATATCTTGTTTTGCTCCCTCTCTCAGGAGGTTAATTATGTTATTAAAATATTTTCTATTCTTACCTATGCCTTTTCTGCATATTCCTTTTGTTTCAGAGAAGTATACTAAAATATCTAATTATGATTGTGGATTTGTTAGTTTCTTTTTCTTTTCTCAGTTTTGATTTTGTTAACTCTATATATTTTAAAGTTATGTTATTTGGTGCATACAAATTTAAGATTGCTCCGAGTCCTGGTGTGGTAGTGTGGACTAATGCGTTAGACTTCAAAGTTATTTGAACTGCAAGGTCGGTGGTTCAAGCTCACCAGCTGCTCATTGGAAACCCTATACAGGGTCGCTGTGGGTTGGAATTGACTCGACGCACTTAACAACAACAACATATAATCATCATTATGAAATATCTTTTCTACCTCTAATAATATGTCTCAATTTTTACTTTTACTTTATATGTATGAATTTTTACTTTTTATGATCTTAGCTATGCTATGCTGCTTGTTTGAATATTGAACAAACAAGCTATAAAGCAAATACAACATAGCTGGCATAATGCCTGGCACACTGTATTCATTCACTAAACACAGTAACTTTTTTTCTTTATATCTCCAGTGACTTACCCAAATCCTAACCATGGAGGAAGACATTGGAGAAGAGTCAGCAACATGGAAGATGCTGGGGGTTTACATTGTTGTTCTTGTTATGGGCTGTGGAGTCAGTTCAGGGGGTTTACATTGTTGCTGTAGTTGTTGTTAGGTGCCATCGAGTTGGTACCGACTCAAAGCAACCCCATGCACAACATAACAAAACACTGTCAGTTCCTGGGCCAACCTCACAATTGTTGCTACTTTTGAGCTCATTGATGCTGCCACTTTGCCACTCCATCTCGCTGGGGGGGGGGGGTCTTCCTTTTTTTTCTCTGACCCTCCACCTTACCAAACATGATATCCTTATCCAGTGACTGGTCCCTCCTGACAGTATGTCTGAAGTATGAGAGACAAAGTCTGGCCATCCTGGCCTCCAAGGAGTACTCTGGCTATACTTTGTCCAATACAGATCTATTTGTTCTTTTGGCAGCCCATGGTACTTTCAATATTCTCCTCCAACACCACAACTCAAATGCATCAATTTTTCTACAGTCTTCCTTATTCACTGTCCAACTTTAACATGCATACACAAAAATCCTCACCACTGGACCAATAAACATTATTCTTATGAATGTAGAAAAGATTGAAGTTGCCAAAGACTTCATTTTTCTCACATGAACCATCACCACTCATGGAAGAAGCAGTCAAGAAATCAATAGCATATTACTTTAGGCAAGTCTGCTGCAAAAGACCTTTTTAAACTGTTGAAGAGCAAAGATGTCAGCTTGAGGACTAAGGTGCACCTGACTCAAGCCATGGTATTTTCAATAACCTCATATGCATGCAAAAGTAGAGGTTTACATTAGATGGCAGCAAATAAGAATATCCGAGGGGAATTTGAGTGTCATGGATGCTTGCATCAGTTTGAGCTGCTTTCCATGCCTCAGTATGATTCCTGCTTCCCATTCATTACACCTTTTAATTCCATTCATACAGGTATTCATATATTATTGATGGAAAGAAAATTGGTACAAATGTATTAGAGGACTATAATCATCAACATTTAAGTGTAAGTATCTTTTAACACAGCAATTAAACTTCTAGGAAATTATCTTACAGATTTAATTCCACAGGCAGATTATATATATAATGATTCCCTGAAAGCCTATGTTATAGAAAGAACCTGAAAACCCTAAATTTACATCAATGAAGAAATAAATTAAAAGGAGCTATTTATTCCACATCTATTTTATTTATTATGTCTTATACATCTTTTTGGAGTCCTAGTGTAGCACTATAAGATAAGCACTGGACTGTAAGGTCAGTTTCAACCACAAGGTTGGTGGTTCAAACTTACCAGACACTCCTCGGAAACCCTATACAGGGTTGCTATAAGTCAGAACTGATTTGAAGGTACTTAACAACAACAAACATACATCTTTTTATTCATTTATATGTATACTGGTCCTGGTGTGGTGCTGTAGTATAAGCACTCAACTACAAGGTCAGTTTGAACCATAAGGTCAATGGTTGAAACTCACCACATTCTCCTTGGAAACCCTACACAGGGTTGCTATTAGTTGGAACTAAATCAAAGGCACTTAAAAACAACAACTTTTGTAATAGAAATAAATTTATGAACAAAAATTTAAATATTGGACTTAAGATCATTATTTTGAAATTCTAACATGTTAACATAAGAGAGTAAGCCCTTTCTTCTCCATTCTTTATTTTGATTTTTTAAAACTTTACTCTTCCATGCCTTCCATCTTCTTTTCCTTGTATCTTCTTTATATTCTTGCTTCTTCTGTCTTATGTCGGTGTGAAGTAAGGTCATGTCAACTTGAATATTGCTTTTGAATGTTTGTTTATTTATATTGCTTTTGCTCCATAGTTAGGGAGATAGAAAGCAATAATCTACTGTACTGGATAACTTCCTCCTTCCTGTGCTCTTGAGGCAAGTGTTGTCAGTAGGCAGCTTTTTGATAAGACTCAACAGCCTGGAGCTGAGAGGGAGTGGAAAAGAAAATTGGCCACCATCTGTGTCATTTTTCATCCCTCCCAGAAACCACCTTGCTGATTAGATTTTTTAAGTACAAGAGGGATTTATAAAGGGGACATTCCTTTTGACTTTCATAGATATGAACATGTTGATGTTCTTGAGTGCTTCTCTAGCCTCATGTATTCTGTGATTGCTCTCTCTTTCATATCTTATCTTGTCTCTTTGTGCTTGATTTGTGCTTTTTCCACTTTCTATCATACATGTAGCGTAGTGGTTACGAATTGGGCTGTGAACCTTAAGGTCAGCGGTTCGAAACTACCAGCCGCTCCGCGGGAGAAAGATGAGGCTTTCTACTCCCGTAAAGATTTACACCCTCGGAAACCCTGTACAGGGTCGCTAAGGGTCGGACCCGACTCGATGGCACTCAACAACAACAACAATCATACATGTAAGGAGGCACAGTGGATTGAGCACTGAGCTGCTAAACAAAAGATCAGTGCTTGGAAACCACCAGTTTCTCAGTGGGAGAAAAATGGGCCCGTTTGCTTCCTTTTGCTGACTCAGAAGAGTCAGAATTGTTTTGATGGCAAGGGGTTTGGCTTGGATAATACAAGTCCATAAAATCAGATTCTCTTTTCTTTTAAAGTCCATTACTCAACTTGTTATTATTATTATGATTACATTTCCTTATATTTTACAGATCTTAGTATAAATCCTAAGGTGCTCTGGTAGTGTAGTGGTTATGAATCGGGCTGTGAACCGCAAGGTCAGCAGTTCGAAACTACCAGCTGCTCTGCGGGAGAAAAATGAGGCTTTCCACTCCTGTAAAGATGTATAGCCTCAGAAACCCTATTCAGGGTTGCTATGGGTCGGAACCAACTCGATGGTACTTAACAACAATATAAATCCTAACTAAAAATGTAGCATTCACCCTAACTTTATATTTTCTTCTTTACTTTTTTAATCAGTTGAATTTTCTAACCAATCTTATGAAGCCACTACTATGGTATGGTTCATCTTTATTTTATTGTAAATTTAAGTTTCTCTTCTTTCCTGGCTTAACTTTATTTAAATCTGGTTCTCCTCACAAGGGTCAAATAATCCCCCAAACCAATGATTGCTGTCTTCCAGTTTTCTGCCCCCAGGGAAGTCATTTTTCCTTATAGGAATGGCCCCTTTCTCGGCATCTCTGTGAACAGGCTTTCCTAGTTGCTTCTCTTGGGCATTTTGGGCTGTATATTCTTTGTTGTTGCAGGGGCTCCTGCAACTTGTAAGAGTTTTAATAGCATCATTGGTCTCTGCCTACAATAGCACATTTTCCCTCAAATTGTAACAATTTAAATCATTTATAATAATTGAAAACCTTGTCCAATATCTCCTGAAGGCCTTAAGAATCATTACTATAAATATTGTTAGCAGGTAAAGATATAATAAATTCACAGATATTCAGATTTTTAGGTAAAATTTGCATACAGTAAAATGCACAGATCAAATGTGCATAGTTTTGATAGATGCATACACACTCATATAACTACCATCTTAAAACACACAAAACATGCCCACCGACTTTCAGTGACCCTCTGTAGGGTTTCTGACACTGTATGTCTTTATGGGAGCAGACAGGCTCACCTTTTCCCAGTGGAGCAGCTGGTGAATTTGAACTGCCAGTTTTTATTTAACCAAAGAACAGAACCAGGTGATCATTTTCAAAGGCTGATCTCTTCACTTTGACTTCTTCTTTGATTAAAATTGAATAAAATTACATCTATATTTGTGACATTAAGTTGATGCTGACTCATAACAACCCTGAAAAGGGTTTCCAATGAGCAACTGATGGGTTTGAAACTCTGACCTTTTGGTTAGCATCCAGTGCTTATCCTACAGCATCAAACCAGGTATACATATTTTCCTCAAATAATTTTTATTAATTTCTTCATTGTGAAAGCCTAAGGTTTTTCTAATTTCTGAAACAGAGTAATACTTTTTTCTAAAAAAATGAGTATTATAATTTTCATTTATTTGTCACATGAAAATATGATTAATATTGTCTAAAAACTCAAAGTGTTTTAGTACAATTTTGTTTTTAATTTGCATTGTATATTTTTTCAATAAGCAAAGGTCATGGGTCACATCTAAGAAGAAAGGTGTACTGCACATTTATTCTCAGTGATTTTGATCCATTCTCTTTCTTGGCTGTTCTCTTTCTCCTGTTTAAAGTATAATATGTTATAACTATAGTAAGGCAAATAATTCCTATTAAACCTATTGCTGTTAAAACTCCTCTCAATATGAGATAATCTCTGGTAAGAACAGGAGCAGAATTCTGTGAAACTAAGAGAGAGATCTGGATAATGTTAGAAACAGCAGATTTCAAGAAGTTTCTGTCCACTGATCGTATCGCCACATACATTCTGTGACTTTCTTCTGTCTCTCCATCAAGATGATATTCAGGTTCATTTGTGAAAAGCTTTGGTGAGAATGTAAATGTCTCCTTGATGCCAGCTTTTTGAGGATTTAGTTTTGACGTATTCACTAAAATAGCACTGTTAAAGTCTTCTCGAATATTCTGCAGACTCTTACTCATTCTTATTTCATAGCTTGTAGCTGAAAGTAAAAATACATAAATAGAAAAGTAAAGTCAACATAAGTAAAGTGTTCTAGTTCATTAGAAATGATTAATGAGAATGGAAACAAATAAACCAAAATGCCTAAGAATAAACATAACATGACATGTATATATCAGTAAAAGTTTAAAACCTTAAATTAGGATTCAAATTAAAGTCTAAACAAGCAGAAGACTTAATAATGGTCTCTGAATAGCAAAATTCAAAATAATAAAGATGCTATCTTTTCCTTGGTTATTTCTGTAAATGTTATGTGCTTCTATTATAAATGCCTCAAACATCTGTTTTAACTAGTCAAGATTATTGTTAAGGTCTTATGAAAAATAAATAGCAAGAATGGACATATAAAGATTTTAACATGCAGTACTAAAAAACAAACTGTTAAATACAAAAACACTATGAAAAAAAAAAAGAAAGAAAAAGAAGAAAAAAAACCCCAAAACACTATGATGCTTCAACAATTAAAACATTGTGGTACTGGCTGATGAATATTGCTGTTGTTAGTGCTGTTGAGTCGTTTCCGATGTATAGCAACCCTGTATAGGGTTTCCAAGGAGTGACTCATGGATTTGAACTGCTGACCTTTTACCAAACCACACCAGGACTCCAGTAAATGAATAGATACACCCCTCCTCAAAAAAGGCTGAAATACACTTAAAAACTGAGTATATGACAAAGATTGAATTAAATTTAACAAGGAAAAGTATAAACTCATTAAATGGTGTTGTGACAATTGGGTAAAAATCTGAAAAATAAATTGGGCCATACCTCAAATCTTCTACCATGATAAACTCTAAAATGACAAAAAGTTAGGTGTGCAATATAAAATATTAAATAGAAAACAATGGATGAAATCTCATATAGTCCTGAAGTAGGGGATTATATTAGGATTGTCTAATTATGACTCAAAGTCCAAAAGTCATAAAACAAAAATGTTAATAAATTTAGATACATAAAATATAAAACTTAAACATGGGGTAACCATTCTAATCAAGATATAAACATAAATGTTAATATGAGAAAATATTCACAATTAATATCAAAGGGACAGTTTAATTATAGTAATGGCAGAGTGGATTCTATTGGACTAATAAACCAGCAAATAGTATTTATTAAGCCTGAAAAAAATTAAAGTCTTTAGATTTAGATACAGATCAGCATAAATAGGAATGATTCATGTCTGTAGAGTTTTTCCCCTGTTGGCACTTCCCATCATAGTACAACATGTGGTTAGCAACAGAAGGCTACAATCTTATTGGTCTGAAAAGTCAATGGATTGAGTTTAGGATTACCAGAGGGGCTGGAAATTGAGAGGAAAAATACAAAAAAAAAAAAAAAAAGGAGGAGGCAAGAGAGAAAGAGGCCAAAATCTGTATATAACTTCTCTTTAGTAATTGGAAGACCTCTGAACTATACATGTGTGGGTGAAATATCTAGGATTTCAAGAGAAAAACAAAAGCTAGAATGTTGAAAAAGTGAGTAAAGTTTACATAAATTCCCAGCACAGTGCAGATAAGAGTTTGGAGGGTGAGACTTGCCAAGTAAAAATTTCAAGACTTCCATTGAAACCTCAAAGGGCCATGTTTTAGTAATAAATACTATGTTCCAGAATTAAGGGATATACCTAGGATTAAGAACAAAGCTGATATAGACAAGCTGTAGCCAAGAATAAAACCCAGTATTCTCAAATTCCAGATGATCCAAAAATTGGTTGATGGTCTACTAGAAAAAATTTTAAGCTCCTCAAAAGAAGATAAAAGATTCCTAAGTCTCTACAATTTACCACCACAATGTCCAGCATAAAGTAAAAAAAAA